GGGGGGGACTGTGTGGATGGCTCAAGGGCGGGCGGGGAGTCCTTAATTTGAGGGTGGGTAGGTGCTTCGGGGGACGGGGACGGCAGCGCACATGTTGTTTGTCACGACAGGAGGGGCGAAAGATGCCCGGGGGAACGCGGGGCGTGCCAGGAAGCAAGCACTCGCGTCGCGCAGGCCGGCCGCCTGGGTATGCTCCGCTCCCTATTTGCAAGGCCGCACCTGTCGATCTGCCACTGCGGCAGCTCCCCCTCCACGCGCCGCTTCCGCAGCCACCGCGCCCACGCCCCCAGCGCCGGCGCGTCGAAGCAGAAGCGCGGCACGTGCGCGGCGCCGTGGCGGGCGCGGAAGGCCGCCAGCTGGCGGTACATCGCCTCAAAGGGCATCCTGGCGGGCACGAGCGGCCCGGTGCCGCCATGTGTGGCTCGCTGCCGCTGCTGCTGCTGCCGCTGCTGCTGATGCTGGAGCGCCACGGGATCCCAGGGGCCTGCGCCGCCCTCGCCGTCGTCGCTGGTCAGGCGTTGCAGGAGGAGCGCGGCGAACGCCTCGCGCGTGAGCCCGTTGCCCCGGGCGCGCCCGCCGGCGCCATCGTCACCGAGATCAGCCGGCACCTGCACCGTGGGCTGCCTGAGGGACTGCTCCTCGAGCAGCGCAATCAGCGGGTCGCCGCCGTCAGCACCGCTCTGGGCATCGGCGCCGCTGCCGCTGCCGCTGCGCGCGCCGCCGCTGCGATCGCCGCTGCTGTTGAGCGGCGCGCGGCTTGCCACAGCACGCGCTTCGACGGCGCGCGACCCGGCGCGCGGCCGTACACCCTCGCACGGAACAAAGTTATATGACGGCGCGTATCTTTTCAAGAAGATTTTATTGCCAAGCGCGATCGTGCCGCGCGAAGAGCAAAGCTGCATGAAAGGCAAGATCAAGACGCGGCTTCAGCGCGGCTTTGCTTGTTAGGCCATATCAAACTGCGTGGTTTCAACAGCTCTGTAGCTAGTTTGTACGCCACCTGCCGTCTAGTCACCTGCTGAGTACCGCAATTGCCTGTGACGCCGCCAGCAACATCTCGCCTCGAGCATGATTGGCAGCTGTTTCAGAGTTGCTGCTATACACCCGTCAAAGCAGACTCCGGCATTGTTCAAAGTGGCAGAGGTCGCATGGCGACATTCGAATCCCCCAAAGTCAACCCTGTTGACCGAGAGGCCTGAAGGCGTGCTCACTCGTCTGCGAGCGTCCGCCCCCGCTGCCGCGTCTGCTGCAGGGCTGGCGTGGCCTGCAATTTAATGTTGCTTCTGCGCCGGCTACAGGGTTGCGGTGGGACAAAAAGGGATCAGGTGTCACACCCAAAAAAGTCGCTACGGTCATTGAGGGAGCGAACGCCGCTACGAATCGGTCCGCCCCATGCACGCACCACGAACGGCGGGCGAGCAGGAGGCGGGCTGCGATGGAAAAAATGCAATAGGGACGACGCGGGCCGGCACGATGACGCATGATGATGGGCGCGCTGCTGCGGGAGGCTCCACCAATACAGAACCTCCTCCTCACAACAGCCCGCCCCCTCCCCCCACATACAAGTATGACCAAACACGAGTCCCACACGCGACGGGGGAGGGAGCGCCCGCCGCGCCGCCCGCCCACCGCGCCGCCCCAGAGGCTAAACAGAGGCGATCCCGCTAGCTGAGGCCGCCGCCGGCGCCGCCGCCGCCCGTCACGTTGGCGAAGCCCATCAGGTGCTTCACGCCGGCCGCGGCCGCTGGCGGCAGCGCGCCCTCCCCTATAAGCAGGTTCCCCAGCAGCGTGAACAGCTCCAGCTGCTGCGCGGGGTGCAGCTGCTGCGCCACCTCCAGCACGCTGCCTGCGGGGGGGGGGGGTTGGGCGGGGG